GGCTGGGCTACCGTCTGTAAGGACAGCGTAAATAAACTTCGAGGAAATATCTGTTTTACGCATTTTTGAACACCGATTGGTTACCCGTGATGTATGAAGAGCGCATGTTGTGTCTGGGGTAATTATTTAATCTGATTCCCGGTTTGAAGTGAGGTGAAATGTATGTTATGTAATATGCACGTGGCAGTTGATTTACTTTTTTTTGTAAATCAAATATTTTCTTTGTGTTGCAAGTCAAAATAGTGTAAACGAAAATCGCAAAATACCAAGCAAGTGACTTATCAAAACTTCGTCACCATTACCTATGCAAAGATACCTACATGTCGTTATTAGTTTCAAGACTAAACTATCTTGTTGATCAATGTGACTATACGCCTTTTTACTATCAACAAAAGCGACAAATGCGCTAACGAATGGCGCAGCACATGTCGCGAACTAGGCTAGATTTCTGCTATATTATCCGGGTACTCAATGGGGAAAAACAATTAACAAAGGCAACAACCAGTTCCGGGCCAAGCCGGACCGAACGCATACCAAACACTTCTGACAGAGACTATGTTGTGAATGTAGAGGAAAAAGAACTTCACATGGAGCACCGTAGTTTCTTTAAATACTGAGATCTGTGACACTATAAAGTGGCATCTAGGTAAATATCATACTAGTCTGTAGATGTAAACACATTTGAAGATATATTTGTGAGTTTAAAGTTGATTTTGACAGCCCGGGCCATGTCGGACCAAACACTTACCAAACATTTCTGACAGAGGCTATGTTGAGAATGTAGATGGAAAAGGGCTTCACTTTGAGCACCGTGTTTTCTTTAAATGCGATGTACTGTGACACTATAAAGAGGTATTTAAGTAGATATAATACTAGTCTATAGATGTAAACACATGTGATGATATGATACATCTGTGAGTTTAAAGTTGATTTTGACAGCCCGGGCCATGTCGGACCCAACACATACCAAACATTTCTGACAGAGGCTATGTAGAGAATGTAGATAGAAAAGAGCTTCACTTTGAGCACCGTGTTTTCTTTAAATGCGATGTACTGTGACACTATAAAGTGGTATTTAAGAAGATATAACACTAGTCCATAGATGTAAATACATTTGAAGCTATATCGGTGAGGTTTACGTTGATTTTGACAGCCCGGGCCAAGTCGGACCGACAGAGATTTTCTTGAGAAAATACAGTAACATTGTTTGACTTTAACGAATCACTTGTCTGTGACATGATAAAGTGGTATATAAGTAGATATAACACTAGTCTATAGATGTAAACACATTTGATGATTCAGATGTGAGTTTAAAGTCGATTTTGTCAGCCCGGGCCAAGTCGGACCGAACACAGACCAATCACTTCTGATAAAGAATGTTGAGAATGAAGAGGGAAAAGGACTTCACTTTGAGCTCCGTGTTTTCTTTACCTACCGCGGTATGAGACACCAACGTGGTATATAGGTAGATATAATACTAGATGTAAAGATGTATAGTAACTTTAGAAGTGCTATGACAGTTATTAACACGTGCGGAGTCAGCCCAATGAAATTTCGCGAATATCCACTTCCAGAAATCATCTTGTGTTGGTTTAACATGAATTAGTAAAGGTTAATTAGGGATGCCCAACATATTAATTAATTGAGAAAAACTATACTTTTGTGGACATTTGAGATCTGCCTAGATATGCATGTTTCGTTTTATTATTCTGCAATCCATTTTTAGTATTACCCGCTGGTCCGGCCCGGCCCGACTTTTAGGCAATGATATAGGCTAGTGGACACGCTTGTCTCGGGCGATGATTCTCGACGTTCAGTCTTGGCATTCCGGTTGTGGATCATCTACGCTGTTTTTACCTGCGGTTACCTACCTCATCTAAATCACCAAGTTCTGTTAATGTTTTGTTCCAAACCCTCAGTAACCAGTTAGTCCTTCCTCCAGTCTGTTTTGCGTTTACTTACAAAATTTAAAAGGAAACTGTCTATTTCCTGAGTGTTTTAACCACTATAGTTTGTTCAGTTATAATATTTGTCAGATTTTGTCCGTCAAAAAGAACCCTTTTCATTCCTTATCCTAGGAGATTCTCATTACACATGATTCGTGTTATCACTGTAAACAATTTACATAAGCCGTGATCACTTCTATATCCTCATGTATGTTTGTGTTCTTAATTAACGTTTTACGTATTTTCACCTATACGTAACAAATACATTTCAGAGGAGTGGTTGTACGTGTACATTCACATGGAGATATCCGCCATTCCCCTTGAACGTACTGTCACAAGCAGTCATCTATATTCCACTGGATAAATAACACTACATGATCACTATCCCAGTGGAGGGGCGGTCGGGGAGCCTAGTGGTTAAAGCGTTCGCTCGTCACGCCGAAGACCCGGGTTCGATTCCCGATATAGGTACAATGTGTGAAGCTCATTTCTGGTGTCACAGCCATGATATTGCTGGAATATTGCTAAAAGCGGCGTAAAACCATAGTCACTCACTCACTATCCCAGTGGACCATCGCAACTACATGAAGTGTATCACGGGCGCTTTACCATCTCTATCACAGTGGACCATCGCAACTACATAAAGTGTATCACGGGCGCTTTACCATCTCTATCACAGTTGACCATCACAACTGCATAAAGTGTATCACGGGTCCTTTACCATCTCTATCACAGTGGACCATCACAACTACATAAAGTGTATCACTGGCCCTTTATCATCTCTATCACAGTGGACCATCGCAACTACATAAAGTGTATCACGGGCGCTTTACCATCTCTATCCTAGTGGACCATCGCAACTACATAAAGTGTATCACGGGCGCTTTACCATCTCTATCACAGTTGACCATCACAACTGCATAAAGTGTATCACGGGTCCTTTACCATCTCTATCACAGTGGACCATCACAACTACATAAAGTGTATCACTGGCCCTTTATCATCTCTATCACAGTGGACCATCGCAACTGCATAAAGTGTATCACTGGCCCTTTACCATCTCTATCACAGTGGACCATCGCAACTACATAAAGTGTATCACTGGCCCTTTACCATCTCTATCCTAGTGGACCATCACAACTACATAAAGTGTATCACTGGCCCTTTACCATCTCTATCCTAGTGGACCATCACAACTACATAAAGTGTATCACGGGCGCTTTACCATCTCTATCACAGTGGACCATCGCAACTACATGAAGTGTATCGCGGGCCCTTTACCATCTCTATCCTAGTGGACCATCGCAACTACATAAAGTGTATCACGGGCGCTTTACCATCTCTATCACAGTTGACCATCACAACTACATAAAGTGTATCACGGGCGCTTTACCATCTCTATCACAGTTGACCATCACAACTACATAAAGTGTATCACGGGTCCTTTACCATCTCTATCACAGTGGACCATCGCAACTACATAAAGTGTATCACGGGTCCTTTACCATCTCTATCACAGTGGACCATCGCAACTACATAAAGTGTATCACTGGCGCTTTACCATCTCTATCACAGTGGACCATCACAACTACATAAAGTATATCACGGGCCCTTTACCATCTCTATCACAGTGGACCATCGCAACTACATAAAGTATATCACGGGCCCTTTACCATCTCTATCACAGTGGACCATCGCAACTACATAAAGTGTATCACTGGAGCTTTACCATCTCTATCACAGTGGACCATCACAACTACATAAAGTGTATCACTGGCGCTTTACCATCTCTATCACAGTGGACCATCACAACTACATAAAGTATATCACGGGCCCTTTACCATCTCTATCACAGTGGACCATCGCAACTACATAAAGTGTATCACGGGCCCTTTACCATCTCTATCACAGTGGACCATCGCAACTACATAAAGTGTATCACTGGCCCTTTACCATCTCTATCACAGTGGACCATCGCAACTACATAAAGTGTATCACTGGCGCTTTACCATCTCTATCACAGTGGACCATCGCAACTACATAAAGTGTATCACTGGCCCTTTACCATCTCTATCCTAGTGGACCATCGCAACTACATAAAGTATATCACTGGAGCTTTACCATCTCTATCACAGTTGACCATCGCAACTACATAAAGTGTATCACGGGCCCTTTACCATCTCTATCTCAGTGGACCATCGCAACTACATAAAGTGTATCACTGGAGCTTTACCATCTCTATCACAGTGGACCATCGCAACTACATGAAGTGTATCGCGGGCCCTTTACCATCTCTATCACAGTTGACCATCGCAACTACATAAAGTATATCACGGGCCCTTTACCATCTCTATCACAGTGGACCATCGCAACTACATAAAGTGTATCACTGGCGCTTCACCATCTCTATCACAGTGGACCATTGCAACTACATAAAGTGTATCACTGGCCCTTTACCATCTCTATCACAGTTGACAATTGCAACTGGGTAAAGTGTACCACTGGCCCTTTACCATCTCTATCACAGTGGACCATCGCAACTACATAAAGTGTATCACGGGCGCTTTACCATCTCTATCACAGTTGACAATTGCAACTGGATAAAGTGTACCACTGGCCCTTTACCATCTCTTTTACAGTTGACAATTGCAACTGGATAAAGTGTATCACTGGCCCTTTACTATCTCTATCACAGTTGACAATTACAACTGGATAAAGTGTACCACTGGCCCTTTACCATCTCTATCACAGTTGACAATTGCAACTGGATAAAGTGTATCACGGGCGCTTTACCTTCTCTATCACAGTGGACCATCGCAACTGCATAAAGTATATCACGGGTCCTTTACCATCTCTATTACAGTGGACCATCGTAACTGGATAAAGTGTCATACACTTCTATGTTAACTTGATAAATATATCGCATTGGCCCTGTCTTCACTAGGACACAAGACTCTCTTACCTAACCAACGACTATAATACACATCGAAGGTCGACTGTGTTCACTCTCCAAAAGGGACGACAAAAATACTAAGAAATACATAAATCACAACATTAAATGAATAGTTTTAATCCTTTAAAGTGCATTCACAACAGGAAGGACAACTTGGGGAGCAAACATAACGATCAAGTTGAGTTGAGGAATATCACAGGTTAAGACACTTGATGATTCTGCAAGACGATATCCAACTGTTCACGTCACGTAAGCATCTCAACATTGGACATAGTCAGGGGTTCCCTGTCCCCAGTTTCACACCACGCACTGATCCTGTAAGATGTCCCAGCCGACATGTCTCCTGTAAAGGCAATTAGTGTCCTTATCCCACTCCAGCTAGCTTTGTGGCTTACTTCAATATGAGCTTTCTGCGCATGTCTGTTCCCCCGGATGGGACATCGAGGAAGCGTGGAGAAGGTCCCAGTGTTATTACTTTATTTTCTTCTCTGCAAATAAAAGAACAATGATTACTCAAAAGATTTGTTTTAAAACAAAAGACTCAGTTAGAGAAGCATTTGTTTGAAAGCCTGTCCGTATTTCAGCTGAAAACGGTGAATGTCAAGCTTATAACTGATATGAGACTGAACACGGGGTATGTGAAGCTTATAACTGATATGAGACTGAACACGGGGTATGTCAAGCTTAAACTAATATGAGACTGAACACGGGGTATGGCAAGCTTATAACTGATATGAGACTGAACACGGGGTGTGTCAAGCTTATAACTGATATGAGACTGAACACGGGGTATGTCAAGCTTATAACTGGTGTGAGACTGAACACGGGGTATGTCAAGCTTATAACTGATATGAGACTGAACACGGGGTGTGTCAAGCTTATAACTGATATGAGACTGAACACAGGGTATGTCAAGCTTATAACTGATATGAGACTGAACACAGGGTATGTCAAGCTTAAACTAATATGAGACTGAACACGGGGTGTGTCAAGCTTAAACTAATATGAGACTGAACACGGGGTGTGTCAACCTTATAACTGATATGAGACTGAACACGGGGTGTGTCAAGCTTATAACTGATATGAGACTGAACACGGGGAATGTCAAGCTTATAACTGATATGAGACTGAACGAGGGGTGTGTCAACCTTATAACTGATATGAGACTGAACACGGGGTGTGTCAAGCTTATAACTGATATGAGACTGAACACGGGGTATGTCAAGCTTATAACTGATATGAGACTGAACGAGGGGTGGGTCAAGCTTATAACTGATATGAGACTGAACACGGGGTATGTCAAGCTTATAACTGATATGAGACTGAACACGGGGTATGTCAAGCTTATACTAATATGAGACTGAACACGGGGTGTGTCAACCGTATAACTGATATGAGACTGAACACGGGGTATGTCAAGCTTAAACTAATATGAGACTGAACACGGGGTGTGTCAAGCTTATAACTGATATGAAACTGAACACGGGGTGTGTCAAGCTTATAACTGATATGAGACTGAACACGGGGTATGTCAAGCTTAAAACTGGTATGAGACTGAACACGGGCTGTGTCAAGCTTATAACTGATATGAGACTGAACACGGGGTGTGTCAAGCTTATAACTGATATGAGACTGAACACGGGGTGTGTCAAGCTTATAACTGATATGAGACTGAACACGGGGTGTGTCAAGCTTAAACTAATATGAGACTGAACACAGGGTGTGTCAAGCTTATAACTGACATGAGACTGAACACGGGGTGTGTCAAGCTTAAACTAATATGAGACTGAACACGGGGTATGTCAAGCTTATAACTGATATGAGACTGAACACGGGGTGGGTCAAGCTAATCACTGATATGAGACTGAACACGGAGCTTATGTAAACTCACACAACATTTGTCACCGGTTGGGCACAGGTACGAGTACATTGTCGTTGATACATTGCTCGATAGACCTATAATGAGCTACTTCCTCGGTCGCAGATAATTAATTACACACAGAAAATCGTGCAGCTCCCTACTGGTAAATCAATTTTATCAATGTGTTATTCAACGTGTATGCCAATATGTACAGATATAATATGGGTGTACTTCCTCGTATCACTGGCATTTGTCACCAATCAAGTCGTCATGCTACTACTAAAGATGTGGACAGTTACTCTCCCAGACCACATGAACACCTACGCTACCAGAACAGTCGAACAATAAGAACTATTTAACAGTTACACGACAAGAACAGTTGAATAGTTACACTTCCAAAACAGTTGAAGAGTTACACTACATTTGAACAGTTACATTTTCACAAGAGTCGAAAAGTTAAAATGCTAGAAGAGTTGAGCAGTCAAGCTCCAAGAGGAGTGAACAGCTGAAGAGTTACACTACCAGAACACTTGAAGAGTTACACTACCAGAACAGTTGAAGAGTTACACTACCAGAACACTTGAAGAGTTACACTACCAGAACACTTGAAGAGTAACACTACCAGAACACTTGAAGAGTTACACTACCAGAACACTTGAAGAGTTACACTACCAGAACACTTGAAGAGTTGAACAGTTACATTGAAGGAAGAGTGGATCATTTTCACTACAAGAACCGTTGAACAATACAATTGCCAGAAAAATTGAACAGTTATATTGCAAGAAAAGTTGAACAGTTACATTTACACAAGGGGGCACGGTTGGCCTAGTCGTCAAAGGCGCCGCAATTCGATGTGCAGAGTTTCGTCCCTTGGACATGCCAGAAAGCTATGATTGTGGGTTCGAATCCCGGTTCGCCCAGATTATGTTTCTAGGTTTGTCAGCACTATACCCGTGCTCGCGGGTTTCACCGAAGTGGTAAACGTCTGAGACCTGCATCACTTCGGGCTTTCCTCCCACATTAAGCTGACACGTTGTGATATAACTGTAATACTGTTAAAAGCGGCGTTAAACCCAACTCACTAACTACATTTCCACAAGAGTTGAAAAGTTAAATTACTGAAACAGATGAACAGTCACACTACCAGAGGAATGAACAGTTACACTTCAAGAACAGTTCAACAGCCAGACTGCTCTGCAAGCACTGCTCAAGACGTTAGCACGGCAGTTAGTCATGATGTAAACTATATACGCATGAATGGAATAGTTTCTCACCAGCCAATACAGGGCATATTCCGTCGGTGTGTCAGTGATACATTTGACTGTACCACTTATTATTAACAGAACGAGACAAATGCCCTTTAGGTTGGCTCCTAAAAAGGAACATCTATTCTGACCAAATTTAAAATGCGTGTATAAAGCTGAGGTCGAGTTTTAACAAGAGATTTATCGAACATGCTGGTGAAAATTCATTGGTCTGGTGCTTACATAAGTCCATTCAAATGTAGGTGTATTGTTGTTCGAGCTTTTACATTTTTTCTCACACGCCAAAACAAATCAATATGGCAATTTTGTAACAGAAATAGAAACTTCTACACACCCACGCAGTTGTTTGTCCATTGTAAAGGGGGCAATTCTTTCTGACAAAGACAAATAAGCGTATTGGTATTTGGAAGAAGAAAAAGACAATGGAGCGCACGGGCAGCTGAAGATAGTCTGGTAGACAAAACGACCCCTTTGTTGGCGCGTCGTGGAGGTTGATGGATGAAATTGAAGCTCGTGTGTCTAGGCAGTAAGCCATTCATATACTATAGCAGTACATCGATGTGCAAGCAGGCTCATATCCTATACTTTAAAACGAGTAAACATAGACTCCCAATAGAAACTGGAAATGGCTGAACAGTTCTTAAAACACAATATGACATTCAAAATACCACATTGTCATCTTGCTGTACATATTGTCTATTGCAATATTCTATTTATACTCATGTACCACCGATGGTGATTGGTTATTCTAATAATAATCTTGGAACTTGTAAGAGTACTCCTTGCTGAATCAGATCTACTAGATGACATCATAAGTGGTGAGGTAGAACATACTTCAGTCGGTTCCTATCGATAACGATGGTCATTGTTCAGAATACAAAATATTTCACAATTCCAAGGTTAAAGGATTATTTCGTCATGTTTGTGAAATATTTCACATGATAGATCCGCCCTAACGCACGACTGTGACAAGCTGGATCATTATAGATTTGCCTGTCCGTACATTTGGGGAAGAAGGCGATCATTATAGATTTGTCCGTCTGTACATTTGGGGAAGGCTTGGGTCATTATAGATTTGCACGTCCGTACATTTGGGGAAGGCTGGCGTTATTATAAATTTGCCCGTCTGTACATTTGGGGAAGGGGGCCATCATTATAGATTTGCCCGTCCGTACATTTGGGGAAGACTGGGGTCATTATAGATTTGCCCGTCCGTACATTTGGGGGAAGAGGGGGTCATTATAGATTTGCCCGTCCGTACATTTGGGGGAAGAGGGGGTCATTATAGATTTGCCCGTCCGTACATTTGGGGGAAGAGGGGGTCATTATAGATTTGCCCGTCCGTACATTTGGGGGAAGAGGGGGTCATTATAAATTTGCCCGTCCGTACATTTGGGGGAAGAGGGGGTCATTATAGATTTGCCCGTCCGTACATTTGGGGGAAGAGGGGGTCATTATAAATTTGCCCGTCCGTACATCGAGGACTACAGGGATCATACAGATTTGCCCGTCCGTACATCGAGGACTACATGGATCATTACAGATTTGCCCGTCCGTACATCGAGGACTACAGGGATCATACAGATTTGCCCGTCCGTACATCGAGGACTACATGGATCATTACAGATTTGCCCGTCCGTACATCGAGGACTACAGGGATCATACAGATTTGCCCGTCCGTACATCGAGGACTACAGGGATCATTACAGATTTGCCCGTCCGTACATCGAGGACTACATGGATCATTACAGATTTGCCCGTCCGTACATCGAGGACTACATGGATCATTACAGATTTGCCCGTCCGTACATCGAGGACTACAGGGATCATTACAGATTTGCCCGTCCGTACATCGAGGACTACATGGATCATTACAGATTTGCCCGTCCGTACATCGAGGACTACATGGATCATTACAGATTTGCCCGTCCGTACATCGAGGACTACATGGATCATTACAGATTTGCCCGTCCGTACATCGAGGACTCCAGGGATCATACAGATCCCCTCTTAGTTATAACATATACAGTAGCTCCGCACTTATAAATGCATGTATCTATAGCTCCGCACTTATGTTCACAATACGTACGATGTTCACAACAGCTCAACACTTACGTATACGGGTTACACAAAGGTATATAGTTACGTACGTGTGACTAAAGAGCCCACCACTTACGTTAATCTGCAACAATGAAAAATACCACAGGGCAACGTGCCACAACGTGAACTGAATGAAGAAATTAAAGGTCGGATGAAGGCAGGCATCCTGGATGACAACGCTTTGATTCAGTCAATACGGCACCCTTCCGTCTTTGATGTCCTACCATGTCAAAGTACCAGGCGCTTAGTACTTCAAACACCACTCTACTGGGGACCTAAAATTGGCCAAACCATCCAAGAAAAACTGAAAATGGGGAGGAAATTGCCTCTGTTTCATCCATAATTAGAAATGTTCATCGCATTGTTAAGCGAACGAGAATTATGTCCCCCTATTACGCCCTAATAATCTCATTGTTATATCAACCTTTGTCCACCGGATGAGAACGCTGTGTTGTAAATCTGACATACAACATTGATATTTTCATATTTGCGGAATAGATTGTCTGTAGTTTAGTTCAGCCTTGTAAATATGGACCGCCTCCGCGGTGTTATGGATAGCGCGTCTGCCCCGAGAGCGGAAGGTTGGTGGTTAGATCTCCGTCAGCGTCATGCCAATAAACGTTGAAAGATGGTACTTGTTTTTACCATGCCTGGCGCTCGGCACTAAGGGGCTAAAACAAAGGCTGGCCGGCTTGGAGTTAGTATACTTCTGGTTGGGGTATTCATGTTAAACTTCTGCATGTATCCCACGGGGCTAGCATAATATATCCGGCACATACATGAATGCACATTGCGAAAGAAGTGAAAATAACCTCGAACATAGGGTTAAATGAAGCGACAAAACCCTTTCCATATCCAATAGAAATTTCTGTATAAAGCAGAGTCGATTGTACGATTCCGACTATATCATGAGCATGTGTTTACGAATCCCTATCAAACAGTAATGATACCAGGTGTTCACGAAAAGGTGAATTGTTCACCTGAAAAAAAAACCGGGAACATATGGTACAAGTCAAAATAGGGAATTGCATCGGACATTATTTTTGTCACTGATACGTCAAATTTGGAAATGTCCTCCACATGTCTATCATAAAACTTTTTGAAAGCTTTACTGAGGCCTTGAATGTTGTTACCTTGATCAAATAACTTCTGAGCAAGAGTCGCAAGACGCCATTTGAAATCTTGGTAGAAAAATCATGCTCGATTGTATCTCAAAAGTTGTGAAATGTAAACACCAAAAGCTGGAGCTGCTGAAATATTGCAGTCCTAAACATGTTCAGAATTGTGTGTAAAATTGAAACATGTTTAAAGTCTAGACAACTTTAATTATAAACGTAGATTGCTTCCTCGTATGCCTGCTCTGTTTTGTTTGTTGTTTTACGCCACACTCAGAAATATTCCAGCAATATAACGGCGGTCTGTATATAATGGACCAGACAACCCACTGATTAACATCATGAGCATTGTTCTACGCAATTGGGATACGACGTTGCATCAACTAAGTCAACGAGCCTGACCACCCGATTCCGTTGGTCACCTCTGGGTTGCTGAAGATCAATTATAACAGGTATCTACGATGATATAGAAGGCATATGGCCAATATGGGTATTACAACGGGACATATTCAACACCACTGGATTCCAAGTTTATAATGTCAGATATTTCTTTACAAGAAATATTTATTTTTGCTGTATTGATCAGTGGAAAGAGAAAACCATGAATATTCAGAGAATCCTGTATTTATTATAAAAATATATTTGGACTGAAAACTTACCTTTAAAGTGAGATTGTGTGATTTATCACTTTAACAGCATAAACTTCAGATTTTAACATGCTTTAATTGGACAAAGGTTTATGCATAACAACTTCTATATTATACTGTAATAGCGACGTTTCGGTATAGATCCTTACACCGTTGTCAAGCAAGACTGATAAGTCCTAAAAGCGTTGTCAAGCAAGCCTGATTATAATTAGTCTTGCTTGATAACGGTATGAGCATCTATATAAACATATATATATACATATGAGCTGACAATGGTAACTAAGAAATTATCTGTGGATTGTACTTTTTCGTGAACACCTGTTATCGACAATATTTAATACTGGTTCATAAACACATGTTCATGATATAGTCGGAATCCGACAATCCACTTTGTTTTTGGCAGAGATTTCTTATGAATATTGAAAGGGTGTTGTCGCTTTTAATCGGGCATTCTGTTCAGAATTAGCTGCAAAACCATATATTTCTTTAACTAAACCTACGAACTTGAATATTTTTTAAAGAAAAACAAAAATGTAAATTTTGTGGCAGACAATTTCAACAGTCTGAATCAACAATATCAAATGGTTGGTCACTGAATGGATGACTGTGATGACACTAAGTGTAAGATGTGAAGTGTTCTCACTCACTCGTCAGTCCGCACGGGGATGTATTCTACCTGAGAACCCCCACAGTGGTAATCTAGCGTGACATCGATCTCAAAAGTTAATATCAGATCATGGCGTCGGGTCATGAGCAATCGTCAGCATCCATAATCGTATCTCATTCACAAAGCGCTAGGCCTGACGTCGCGTTTACGCTGCCCGCTGCCCTGTTGACCGATGTCCAGTTTATTGGCCTGAATGGATACCTGCATCACCTGCAAGTTGTCCATGCCTCACGGGCGGTCGAAAATGAAATCACAACGTTAATAACTACGCTAGCTACAACGCCGAATCCCGAGTTCATCAATATGCGCCACGTGAGCGTTGCATTACAATCAATTTCCCGCAGAGTATCCCAGCTGCTGTAATACTTAGCGAAATTAAATCAATACTAAATTAGTAATTATAATTATAGCAATGAATGCAAAATGTTATTTAGTTTCTTTGTTCTTAGTGTGTTTTCTCATTTAATAACGCTAGATCTTTATTTATTTTGTTCTTTGCGGACTCTGTGTGTGAAAAGACTTGTGGGTGGGAAACGTATAACAAAATTGAAAAGTCACTTCATATTGTGATTTTGTTCTTTCATTTGAACGAAGTGCCATATGTCAGTGGTGAAAGCTTGTTGCGTCGTTTAACTATTACTTTTTTGTCTTGCAGGTTAACGTGAATATGCTTTTAGGATCTTTTTCCCACTTTCTTTTGGCTCGGTTAAAACCAAAGAAGGTTTTATGAATTGTCGTTTTATGAATTGTTATTTTATTCCGTAAAAGTACAAAATACCATTTTTGGTACAAATACTTCCGATTTTTAAATCATGAATTACCGTCCAATATGCAAAGTATCTCATATTTTTCAAAATTTCATTTCTCCTGAAAGGAATTTGCTCAAATCAGATCATACGAAGGATTTCTCTCCGTTTGCTCTCGAATCGAATTTATCGAAACCCAAGAATGTTACGACCTTTTTAGACTTATTTAACACGAAAAGGTACGATATATCTAGAATACGTTGTATTAATTCTTGATGTCTTGATTGAAAGAGCAAAGCATTTAGAATTATCTTTAAAACAATATGTAACGTCACAACTTCGTTTGTTGATTGCGGCGTAAAACCAAACTCAGTCAGTCAAGGTCGCCGTGGTATACTGTTTAAGGCGGCTGCAAACCTAGAGGCTGTGGGGTAGTCTAGTGGATAAAGCGTTTACTCGTCACCCTGAAGACCAGGGTTCTATTCCCCACATGGGTACATTGTGTGAAGCCCATTTGTGGTGTCCCCAACCGTGACATCGCTGGAATATTGCTTAAAGCGTAAAATCATACTCACTCACTCACTCAAATCCTATAGACTCACTCAGTATTGTTTTTGTCAACTTGAACAGATCAGTGACAGTTACAAATCATCTTTTACCTGTTATAACCCTGGACTATCTGGAAAGAATTAGTGAGGTGAGGTGAAATTGGGTTTAACGTCGCGTCCAAGATTACTGCACTTATATAGCGACGTGCATGTACGTGTGTGTGTTTGTGTGGCTGCTTGTACTAGTCCGGACTGATGCCGATTTATAGTGCTAGCCCACTGAGATACCATGCCGCAGTTTAAACATGAATACCCCACTCAGACACAGTAAACTGACTCCGAGCCGACCAGTCCTTGTTTTAGCCCCTTAATGCCGAGCGCCAGACAGGGTTACAACAAGTACCATCTTTTAACGTCTTTTGGTATGACGCGGCCGGGGATCGAACCCCAAACCTTCCGCTCTCCAGGCGGAGAATTAGATTAGTACATATCATAATTTCGTACACTGAGTTCATGAAGATACGTTACTTACCAAAGATAAAGGAGTATGTTTCCACACCAATGCACACAGCTCTACCAAGCAGCAGGGCGTTGAGGGGGTTGGGGTCCGACATGTCGGGGCGACACTTGAGCCCCTGGGCACAACGCCCCACCGTCACCCCACACGACTCCCCCGACCGCCGGGCACACACGGGGCAGCACCCACAGATCCCGGCCTCTAGGACGAGTTCGCAGGGTTCCAGTGGGATGGAGCAAACGTTCGCGTCACAGGGAGGGCACTGAAACATGTGCTGCATCGTTTGGCGGTCTATCACCACCGCTTCCGACGCGAACCACGGCGCTACCAAAACAGCCAAACTGAGAACAACATACCCCACAGATGACATCGTTGTGAATGAGGACGACACCGCACCTGTTGGTGCCGCGACGGATCAGATGGGGAGAGCAGGTGGGTCTCAAAGTGTCAGTGTTGTTACACAAGTCACGAAGTTTGTCTTCAAATCATCACACGATGTGTAGGATAGACCCGGTCTGTGTAGGCACTTGTTGAATGACCAGCTTGTCCTATGGCGAGCGTTATAAGCTTATATCGGGACAGTGTAAGTGGCTCTCTGTCAGGCGTAAGGGCCCCTCCCACTTCGCCCCTCCCTCCCACTCTCTCCCTTCAACATCATCACTCCCAGTGTCCGCACTGAGGCGCGTGGGTGAGCCTATTAACGCCGGCGAGATTACGATCAATGCCCTGCGTCAAACACAACGTTGTCACTACTAAAGCAAAGGAAGGATAAATCAGGACTTTTGACGATATGATTTAGCTGCTTGAGTTCCGAGGTTGATAAATGCATTCATGAATGTGCTTCCATACTACACACGGCCATCATCAAAGAAACACATATAACATGAGAACGCTCCAAGCATGTGCAAAGTCCTTTCTGTTTTGAACAATATTTGACCGTGGTAGTGGTAGAGCGTCTGCCATGAGAGCGGAAGGTTCGGGGTTCGATACCCGCCCGCGTCATACCAACAGGCGATACAAAACGACATTTGTTGTTGCCCTCCCTGGCGCTAGGCATTAAAGGACTAAAACAAGAAGTGGTCGGCTCGGAACCAGTATACTTTGTCTGAGTTGGGTATTCGCGCAATCTGTCGTCATCAGTTAGTTCTAATGATAAACATGTGGTAAAGACCCCCAGAAATACCTTCCGGGGAATTCTCAACAGATGATGACACTGTAATATAAAATGTAAAAGAAATGAGAACATAATTCGTCTCAGCCCTTTAAGTAAAAATGTGCAGAGGAAGGACGAATTCTGTTTTTTGATAAGTTCTAAATATTTTCGGCACAACCACAAACGACAAAAACGACATTTCAGAGGATTATATTTTATTTTCAAGTCAGTTTATTTCGTAAGTGTACATCGCGGCCCGTGCTTACATTTGTATTACAAACCGACGTGAGAGAGATTGAGAGAGAGAGAGGGAGAGAGAGAGAGGGAGAGAGAGAGAGAGAGAGTGAGAGTGAGAGAGAGAGAGATGGGGGAGGGGGAGGAGAGGGAGAGAGAGAGAGAGTGTGTGTGTGTGTGTTAGTTAATTAATTTACAATCAGTTGCAGGCATGAGGATATTGATTTTGGTGGGTCAGATATTCACAACATTTCCTTGGTAAGTAATCCGACAGTAACGTGTTATGACCACAGCAGAATAACAGGAAATGGTACTGGTCCTAACTATACCTTGCTTTACAAACACAGCTTGATGTTCGGTCTCATTGATTTTATCCCAGTTTCAACACGCAGCTGGTGCGAAAACCCAGTCTAAAGTGAGCAACTCTAAAATGTACTGCCGGTCACACGGCTAAGATACAGATCTGTACCAAACGACACCTTGAATAGAGAATAGGGTAAAGATTTACTATGCTTTTCCAGAAGACAATGCCAATCTTGTTCATGAATATATTTCCGACTTTTACACTGGCATCCCCAGACAAAGTCAAACCCATGTGAAACAATAAATATTTACATTTTGAGAACCAATTAATTTTACCATAACTTTCTGCCTGAAGTATCATCACATGTAACATTTCCTTGGATAGCGACAATCGGACAGACTCAATAACGTTATCCAGTAACCAATAACTCTTTTGTATGCACAAAGATATAAAGTATAACGCCCACATTCACCTCGAACCATGTTTTGGGGGTTACGATTTGACACAGAGAAAATGTTCCTATGCCAGTGTATGTATGGTTTCTGTTTAAATTATTCTGCTGTTAACCTCAAACTTCGGATCCATTGCAAACTGTTACTTTTTTCATATGAAGAAGTTATGCCGATGTCATGCCGAAGAGGATGTTGTTTTGTTTGTGTGTTGTTTAACGCCGCACTCAGCAATATCCCAGCTATATGACGGCGGTCTGTAAATAATCAAGTCTGGACAAGACAATCCGGTGTTTGACATCATGGGCATCGATCCACGCAATTGGGATACGATGACATGCATCAACCAAGTCAGCGAGCCTGACCACCCGATCCCGTTAGTCGCCTTTTACGACAAGCATAGTCGCCTTTTTGGCAAGCATGGGTTGCTGAAGACCTATTCTTCCCCGGATCTTCACGGGTACCGAAGAGGATGTAATTTTGACAATGACTTTAAATTTTCAAAAGTTTATATATGCGGGTTTGATAAAAGTGCAATTTCGTCGTTCAATGTACTTCTTTAAAAATGTAATCGAAAACGTTCAGCGCCGGGAGGTGATGTTCAGAAACAATATCTTTGTAATTTGCCTTGAGATATATCGCCGTAAAAGCAAGGAAAACATTTCTAATACGCTGTGTCATCACCTAATGAGAGTTTGATAGATCCACCAAGGAACAGCAATGACGATAATTGTAAGGTACTGACAGGTCCTGAGGAAACAGCGAAACACAGAAACTCTCAATCGTGACAATCTCGGGGCTGTGGGGTAGCCTCGTGGTTAAAGCGTTCGCCAGTCACGCTGAAGACCCGAGTTCGATTCCCCACATGGGCACAATGTTTGAAGCCCATTTCTTGTGTTCCCCCGCCGCGATATTGCTGGAATATTGCCAAAAGCGGGATAAAACCGCACTCACTCACTCGTGACCACTCGTGACCACTCGTGTCATTCCAGGATAAGTTGAAAGCCGGGAACGACTTTCAGTATATATAGGGAGATTTTACTTGTAAGTATGGTCTGTTTTGCTTCTGAACCTAAGGGGTACCTTTGAATTATATAAAACCTGCTTTGTGATTTTACTTTTGAACTTTATCAATTTTTCATTCCATTTTTGTTTAGTATTAGTCGCGGGAACCGTGTCTCTGTGCTGCGCCCAATAAATGATGGTGATATTTATTTGTGGCAACACAGAGCTACGGGTTGTCTCAGTGTCTTTTCTAATCCCCGAACCAAATCTCCCTACTGGGATGCATCAACCAAGTCAGCAATCCTGATCCCCTGATCCCCCGATCCCGTTAGTCGCCTCTTACGACAAGCATAGTCGCCTTGCATGGCGCAAGCAGGGGTTGCTGAAGACATAATCTACCCCGGATCTTAACGGGTCCTCTCTCTCTCTTCCTCAGATGATTGGACGAGTACAAATCGTGAAATCGATGAAGGGCTGGTATAAGTCTTGTAATAGATCATTTGGATGAAAACATCATTTCATTGTACTGCAATATATTTACTAATCGAGTTGGAATTCGGACCGGTAAAGATATTTTATCCGCCGTTGCGCTCAGCCATGGCGGCCAAAACTCCATACCCTCCCATTGATTCCAAACCGATACGTTCATAGAAAGTTCCACGATCGAAGTTATAAGTACACAAATTGGACTTCTGGGTTTGTTTGTTGTTTAACGCCGCACTCAGCAACATTCCAGCTATATGACGGCGGTCCGTAAATGAACGAGTCTGGACCAGACAATCCAGTGATTGTGATCATGAGCATCGATCCACGCAATTCGGATCGATGACACATATCAACCAAGTAAGCGAGTCTGACTAACCGATCCCGTTGGTCGCCTCTTACGACAAGCATAGCCACCTTTCAAGGCAAGCACGGGTTGCTGAAGACCTATTCTACCCCGGATCTTCACGGGTCGCACATATTTGAAGACACATGTTTCAGGAAGCGAGTAGTGTGGGATTAAGATCCATGTACGTTATGGCAGGGTTGTTAGTGTGGTATGGTCCGAATCGGGAATCTATTTGCAAAACGCAATTGGGCAGCCTGTGTTACGGTTACCGCAGATAGCTTAGTAGTGTAACACAGTGTTTTCTCATCGACTCACTGAGGCAGCTGGTGAAGTAAATGTTAACTGAACACTTGGTTTTCAAAATGAAATTTGGTACCTATCCAATAATCTGTTTCAAGACTTATACCAGCCCTTCGTCCACTTCACGGTTTGTACTCGCCCAATCATCTGAGGAAGAGAGTTTATGGATGTCATGATCCACTTCTCTGTAATGAGGAACACAACGTTTCGGAGTATTTGATCATCACTTGATCAAGGAGTAAGCTTGTTTGTTTATTTGTTTGTTTAACGCCGCACTCAGCAATATTCCAGCTATATGACGGCGGTCTGTAAATAATCGAATCTGGACCAGACAATCCAGTGATTGACATCATGATCATCGATCCACGCAATTGGGATACGATGACATGCATCAACCAAGTCAGCGAGCCTGACCACCCGATCCCGTTAGTCGCCTTTTACGACAAGCATAGTCACCTTTTACGGCAAGTTTAGGTAGCTGAAGACCTATTCTACCCCAGAATCTTCACGGGTTTCAAGGAGTAAGTATACATCCCGAAACGTTGTGTTTTTCATGAAGATCCGGGTAGAATAGATCTTCAGGTTACAGGTTTTTCTGTGAAATGTCTTTTTTTCGCGAATCGTTATTTTTCGCTACCCAGTAGTTCATCTCGAAATCTGAAACACTGTGCAGTAAATTTGGGAACAGTTGCCTAAAATATCAAGAAAAGCCCGGCATGGTCCGACTGACAAGTGTTTACCAAGTTTATATGTTATATAAGTTTATAAGTCCTAGTTAATACATGCAAAAACAGAAACTTGACAATGACATGGTTAAAGTCACTATCAGACTGAAAAGTAAAAATGAATACGTATGAAATATGAACTAATTGCCACGATCATTATTCGTGATTGTAAAACGGGTGGAATTTTTACCTGTGATCTGTAAAATGGTGGAGTGAATTACCTGTGAACAGTTATTGGGCATAAGCCTTCCCTACCCGCTTACGACAGTCATAGCGCTTTGTTCTCTTTGTGAAACGGGTCCCTGATTCCGTTTTATATACCGTGCTTAAATACTGGAAGTTGCTGTGTCGTTAGGTCACGAAGGGTCTTTCCTTCGCCGTTATGGTGTATGTTATTTAATCCTACCTTTACAAATCTGACTGATTTAAACAAACGTATATTTACTTTAAAGTCAGAAAATGTACAAGTCATATTACCAAGCACACTTTCTAAAATGTATAAAGGTAAACAATTATTTAATTCATGAACATATCTTAACTATAGTATGTATATTACCATGTATGAAAGGCAATTATAAACAACTGTTGTTTTGCGTATAT